TGTCTGTCTGCTCCCGAGAGCAGCGAGGGTTTTCATCGCTAGGGCGTCGGTTCGCCAGAGAAAATAGGTGGGGCAAGGTAGAGCAAGATGAATGCTCTGTGAAATCGAACGAGAGTCTGCCTTACACAATGGGATAGGTAGGGTAACCTCCCTTAGTCCATGAAATCTCAACCGAAATTCTGAAATTTACTTTCAATTCGAATAAATTAATTACATATAGTTGTCATAATGCTTATCGTATAGCCTGATCTCAATACATTGATGTCGCATCAGATTGCCGGCTCTACGACGAGCATCATTTTGACCGCCAGCAAAAGTACATTCTGTATAAAAAGATGGCTACTGAAATGGTACGCATCTTTTCCTCGTTGATTTAAACTGCCCTTAGAAATCCAACCATATGTGTTATAGAAATAATGCACAAGAAAGTATGCTTTCTTTTACTCGTGTGGTAGAAAATTACGCTTTCTTCATAGTTTATACTCTTGCGATTTTAAAAAAATTGCTTAATTCCCGAATAATTTGGAAACTTACTGACCATTACATTTGAATTCAAGATTTACAAACTGCATGCAGTGTACGTCCTGTCTAAGGAAAAGCACGCTTTTCTCTTCCGTGTGAGGACGAGGTCACACAGTTCTCATAAAACTTTGCAATAGATGTGGATCATGCTGCACAGATTATAGGCAACAGTAATAACTTGACGGATACTATGTATCAAAAATGAACATTTCACAGTCGTAAAAAATCTCATAATTTGAAACATACACGTCCTTTCAGTAAAAAATATGAAGGCATAATTTTCTACGAAACGAGTACAAGCATAATTTTGTGAATATTTTATAAACAAATATATTTTAATTGATAAGGGCAGTGAAAATCAATAAGTCAAATACGTGCCATTTAAGTAGCCCCTATTTACAGAATCCACTTTTTGTAAGAGGTCAGAAAGAAGCTCGTAAAAAGGCAGGTAAAAGGACGTAACTAAGACTGACTTGCAGTTAGGCTGTACGATATTCACTACTACAACCCTACTTAAGGCTGTTTTGCGAGTGATTATCAATCTTTCGGCATTTCGCATGAAACACCAAATGTACTGTACATGCTACCTCCATTCTGATGGCGTAGGACGTGAGACTAGAACGTGACAACATTCTAAGAAACAAAGCTCCACTACACCCTCGCCCATTTTGTGATTAACTGTAGGGGGCAAAAACGAAACAGGGATGCCAGAAATCGGGAGCAGGACGGTAGCTGCAAATAAAACACACAGTTTGCAGGCCACGCACACTGTCTGCCTGCCTGCCTCGGAGAAGGAGGAGGAGAAAAATGCCCAGAACCTATTGCACCTATCGAGATAATGCGCTTCGCGAAAGCCTGACGTGCGGAGAGAGAGAGAGACGGCTTTAAGAGGCGAAGACTAAAAAGAGGACGAATTGAAGAGAGGCAACAAGGGAAGCAGTGAAGAGAGAGAGGAGAGCTTAACAAAGATGGGAGAAAGAAGAAGGGGGTTGGTAGGGAGATGGGATGGGGTGGACGAAGCGACATGCCAGACTGACTGAGGCGGGGGAACGGCTGAACGGTGCGGATTAGGGATGTAATCCCATTGCCACCGCTACCTCAAAAAGTGTCTACTGCCCGCGACAGGAAAGACTTATGAAGTGTACAGGCCCCTTGGCGATTAATCCGAAAATTAGTTTAGCAGAATTGTGGCATCCATTGTCTTCTGTCACTTCTTGGAGCAGACTTGGACACGGAATCCAGTCCTGTGCCACCTGCAATACGGGAAGGGGTACTTATTCGCGTGCTTAGTCCACATGTAATGGAACAGTCTTCGAGACCATTAGTTGACGTATCAACAAAACCTTCATGTAAGCAGCATGTCTGATGTAAGCAGTATCACGAAACCCTGTCAGTACATAATCCTTGGAAAAAAAAATCAGCTAATGACGCCCTATGCATGACATCAGAAGAAGAGTAAAGTGAAAAAAACGTTATGCACAGGCCACCGATAGTAGCAAAAAGGAGAGTCCTCGAAGGCAGTTGTGAGAGAGGAACCACCAAAACAGACCTATCATATTTGCCAAGGTAAGGGTTCCAGAATTTTAATCTGTAAAACCCCTCCTAATAATTAAGTGTGCCTAGTAGTCATTATGTTGTATTCTAGATGATTGCTTAGGAAATCCTGCCGGGGCAGTCAGTTTACTGTCAAGTTAAGTCAAGTTTAATATGGAAAGTTCAATTGCATACGCCCTTGAACTCCATATCAGTACACGGTAGTGAAAAAATGCATCGGTACAGCCAAAGATTAAAACAAAAAGGCCGTTTTCAAAGTTGTAGGCACCTACTCACTTGTTCCATGTAATAGAATCACATGTGGTGATGTCAGCTAACACGAGACGGCAGGTGTAACTGAACAAGAAGAACAGACAGTGAAAAAACACCGAAGTCGTGTCTCGGAATTGAAAAAGTGGGATTTCATTCTTCGTTTTTTTAGCAGAAAAACTGTCGCTCGTGGGGGGAAAGTGTGTGAAAGATGGGACCGGCGTACTACCGTGAGTCTTAGCGGCAAGCCAGGGGAGCCCATTGCGATTAATATCTTTATCCGAAAGGTCACACGAGGAGGATACCGCAGAGTCACGAGAACATTCCGAAGAACCGGAGATGCGACCATGATACGTCCTTGCTGTTCGCCGCGTCTGTCTGTCTGTCTGACAAAGACACAGGAACCCGCCACAGTCGTCAGCCATAGTCGTGTATCCGTATTGGTAGATTCCATACGTGCAGTAGACTGGGTGGATAACTCGACCCAAATGTGATTAAATTCACGGCACTCGGCATGCCTTCGTAGTGTGATTCGTAGAGCGTTGGCTTTAAGAAGATTTGTCGACCCTTCATTTTCAAAGCGTTTCATGCCGAAAATCGACCACAATTGTAATTGATTAAACGAACTAGTTGGCTTTGTACCGATCAATTTTTCTTTACTTCTTCAACTGCCTCAGTCTTTTGTCGGCGGTTTGTGGAGCTTGAAGCCTGCTCACTTTACTCGTCAATAACTCGATTGAGTATGCTTGTACCTCTACCCTGCTTTCGGTTAGGTTCGCCGCGAGGACATGGCTGCTCGGACCAGGTTGCTCTGGTCTTCATCTATGCAATGGCCCTACGATGGCAAAAATCGATCAGTCCACGGCTTACTGTCTCAGCCATTTATTTGACATTCTGGTCAGTTTTCGGCATTAAAGACCTTAAAAGTAGAGAGCCAACCAAGCTCCCCGAATAGTCAGCAAGAGGACAAACATTTTCCTATAAGGAATTGCACCATTTCCGACCTATCATAATTATGAGCTTCAGCCCTCATTGTCGAGGGTTGCGCGTTTGGTGCAGCATGGACGGGCTTTTCGCAAATTTTCTGCCAGTGTTAGGCAGTAAGGTTATAACTCCTAGACATTTTAGCTCGATGATGTCGTCACTGAAAGTGCGGCAGTCCGTGATCATCATCACTGCGCTAATTCATTGTGCCTCAACTTGCCAAGCCTGCTGTGACGATCCACCTCTCATGCTCCTGGTCATTCTGCCGCAGGGCCACCGTCTCAAGGTCGGATGACAGCCGCGCTAATCTTGTTCC